CCCCCCCCCCCCCCCCCCCCAAAAAAAAAAAAAAAAAAAAAACCTGCAGGGTCGATAACACCCAATTCTCCCCCAGCAAGCGCAGTACAGCCCCAAACTCAGATTTGGAAAAAAACAAAACAGCGGATGGACCTCTACAGACCGGTCGGCAGACCGCTAACCGTTTGTCCCTACCGGTAGGCTGCAAAACAGTCAGCGGTCGGCGGGTATGCAACCCTGGCCAACCTTAAGATTTATGAATTACAATGCCATTATTCCATCTCCCCTTCCAAGATCATAACCCACACACAAACATCCATCCACGACTGTGCAGCGTGTGATAGGTATAATGAAATATGAGCATTGACCTTGGCAAGTACGCAAAGACACATAGATTTACAAGCTTCAGTCCGAACAAGGTCAGACAGCGATGGCAATTTTAAGGTGAAAGAAAAATTGTGATGCGGAATGTGGATACCTCCGGAGAAGCGCCTTTGGCTGCAACAAACAGACCTCCAGTTCTTGTCAACGGCAAGCAAAGTTCCGCTTCAAAAATGTCAAGGCAAGGGCAATGAAGAAACAATGGAACACCCAACACTGTCAGTCAGAACAGTTGAGAAATCTTGGCACACCCAACACCGTCAGTCACAACAACAATTGGCATCCTACTACGCAGGGCTGTTCGTATAGGTCCTCGAGAGGGCTGTTAATAGAGGTCAGTAAGATGTGAATTGATAACATGCAACAAGGAGTGAGTATTTCTGAGAAACGTTTTTCGTTTCACCTTCTGGCAACTCAAAGGGGGTGCGGTCACCCAAATCCAACCAAGGTGATATTTAAACCACCAGTACCTCGCCCAGCTAAATTTTTCTGACGTGGCCATTAACGCGTCATGTCAGAAGGGGGTCGTTGCAGTGAACGGCTGGTCGCAGCCGAAATGGGTGAAAAACCGGGGGGGGGGAAAGAAAAAAAAAAGTTGTGATGTGACATACGTACAGTATCTACATTATCTACTTCAGCATATATACATTATCTACTTTTTGGAGCTCCGTTATGTCGGGGAAGGTGGTTGTAGAGACCTTGCTGGCTTTGTTTGTTTCCAGTTTGTATCTCACTGCATAGCTGGGCGGATGCAGATGTTGGTTGCTTTTTTTTATATTGTCTTTTCCTTTTTTTACATTTCCCTGCCAGCGAGACAGGGCGGTGGTTGTCGAGGCCTTGCTGACTTTGTTGGTTTCCGGTTCGTATCTCACTGCATAGCTGGGCGGATGCAGAATGTTGTTTGCTTTTTTTTTTTTTTTTGTCTTTTCCTATTTTTTACATTTCCCTGCCAGCGAGGCAGGGCGTACACATGATATGTGTAGACGCCCTTGTTGAGGGCACACTCACATTGGCACATCAAAGAATGTATCTAAGTTAATCTAACCCATTTCCGGGCCAAAATGCCGTTCGTTTTTTTTTTTTTTACTCCTTTTGCTCCAAAGAATCTGACAACAAGAGTACTTTTCTTTTCTTTTTTTTGTCTTCGTTTACTTTTTTGAATCTGATACCCAGGCCACGGGGCTGAGACACCGTCATTGAGGACATGCTCACACAAGTACTTCGCAGAATGTATCCAGCGGCATTCACGTCCCTAGCGTGTTTGCATTTTTTTTCTTTTTCTGTTTTTTTCTTTTGGTACTGGTTCCTCCAGGCTCAACCTCTCCTGCTACTGGTACCCCCAGGCTCAGCAGGCTCAGCATACCGGTAGCCCGAGGGTCGGACTGCATAGCTGGGCGAGGTACTGGTGGTTTAAGCAGCAGCGAGCTGCTTAACTCACGTTCACAAAAACAAAGTGGAGGCAAGTCAAGGAGCTTTCTTTCTCAATGATGTGACATCACAACTTCATGTAACATGATACAGTTGTGAACGTATAAGGTACATGTAGTTCGAGTTAGTAGGACACGATATAAAGAAGCTGTGAGATAGCTGCAAAACACAATCAATGCACCAAAAATTGAAACCCACCTCGCCTCATTTTCTATGTAACTACCCGTGTGGTTTTCAGTCTGAGAAATCTGCATTTTTCAGAGAAAGTTCCTGCCTTTGATCTCTATTGCTGAGATCTCCAAGTTAGTATTTTTGTGTTCGTACTGGTATATCAAAATCAAACGAGCATTTGCACTTTTGCTCCACACGAGATTTCTGTTCTGGTTGAGCTCATCTTAGAACACCTGCGTTATCTTCTAGCAGATATGCCGCCCCAGCCAAACTCCCCACCTGACAATGTCCTTTGCTTGGATCGGACAGCCCACGAGGGCCTGCACCTTGGATCGAGAAGCAGGGGCAAAGCCCTGGCTCCACCAGACAAAATTGTTTTGCTGTGTTTTCTGAGTTTCTGCATCCTGCTAATAATGTATATATGCCCAACTGCTTGTCTGTTGAAGCTTCGAGTCCAGGTCTCTGTCCTTAGACTCCGTTGTCGTACGGTGTCAATGACCCGCAAGGGGTAGAACAAGAGATAGGTGTAGTTGCAATCAGACTCGCATTCATTCACACCTCACATGCATGCAAACAGGTTGCGCAGCAAACTGGCGACAAGCGCCCACTCAAAACTCAGAGATATGGTAACCACGAACACACTTCAGATACAATCTCACTTCAGATGGCTACRGCGCATCAGCGCCTATACAAATCTCTGTTCGTCACTCACACGATGCTGCTGTTCACACACCGGATCACCCTGGATATCCCACACTCGTCACGCTGTACACGCACACACACACACACACACACACACATGCTACTCCCTTCTAATAGCTATGGCGGCTATGGCCGCTGCTACCACTATTGCTATGGCTAAGCTCCTTCTCGCCCTCTTTGTCCTCGGGCTCATTGCAGACCACCTCGCACAAGTCGCTATGGCAGCGCTTCCGCATGGCTTACGCAGGAATGAATGAATGGCTGGGCACTGCCTCTTGATTTATACTTCTGTAACTCGCTGGTCTGCCCTTTTCCACCGGCCCATGGTGCACAGTCCCTCATGGTACTTGCTGGACTGGACTGTGACTGACTGGACCGCTACCGCTGACTGCATGGGTTTGCACCGCAGACTCACTACAGTCGCACTGCCAACGTACTGAGGTTGGCTCCACCACTTGCCCACTTGCCTCTGCCTAAACGTGAGCCCACTCCGAAAGGCCACTTCCGGGATCTTCCGGAAGTCTGTGGACTTGGCCTTTCGGGTACTGTAGCAGCTACGACCTTGACCTTTCAGGGCTGTAGCAGCTACGACCTTGACCTTTCAGTAGACCTATAGCTACGACCTCTACAGAGCTGTGACCCCAACTCGACAGACCTACAGATCGAATCCCTACATCTGCACAGTCCTACGACAGACAAACAACAACTAACAAAACATAGGTCCCGGGTTCAAACACTCAGGGGTCAACTCAATACTGTACACAGGTCAGAACTAGGGATCGAGCCCTGGGATCTGCATTCGCTACTGATAGCAGGTGAAAACCGTTTCATAGTCACAGGGTTAGGACCGAAATTTGGGGAGCGTCAGTCCAGTTCCTATTCCCCCGGCAAGTCAGAAAAGTTACAACAGATACTCACTCACTCTCCTCCCCCTTCTGGTGTGGAGGCCCGAAAAGCGGCATTGATTGCTTCCCTAGGGAAGGATGTAACATTCTTCACTGCTGCCTAAGTTAGCCTGCAATGTTAAACTGCTATACTCGAGTGCTATTCTATTTACTACCTATCTAGAACCCTTGCTTTTTCAGGTGGACCTGAATTCAGCTTGACTTGGTAAATGTGCTTGATTTTACAAACCTATGCTCTTGCTAGTTGCCTCTATGTCTTTACCCTGTCCCTGGAGGTCTTTTCTGTGTCGTAACTGTTTGGAGGGGAAGGTATGAGCTCTAGGAAACGTTTGCTGGTGGGGAAGGTGTCTATTTGTGTTCTGGAGGTGGTGTTCATCGTGGGTTAGATGAATAGGCTATGGGGGTGGCTGGGGTTGGGGTTTTGAATATGCGTAGGTTATAGGTTAGTGTACACGGGGTGTGGGGGAGGGAAGGGATGATTGGTGAGTGTGTCTGGTGATGTGAGGGCGGACTCTCGGTGGTAGGGGGAGGGGGTGGAGTGACTTTGTTAAGTCGGGGGGAGGGGTATCTGTTGGTCCTGTTGTGGAGTAGTGCTGTGTAGCTGATTTGACAGTGGACGTGTGTGGGTCAGGGGAGTTGTAGAGCTGTTTTGTGTCTGTGGTAAGAGTTTTGTGTCTGTGGTAAGACTAACCAGTTTTTGAGAACGAGTCTGTCGTTGTTTATTGTGCCAAGTATGCCATTGCCTGATTTAGAGTTTGAGAACTTTTTTGATTTTTTGGGTTTTTTTGTCGGGGTCGGTGGGGAGTAGTTTGAGTTGTTTCTTCCAGAGAGTGTGGATTTCGGTGTTTATTAATTGTTTAATCAACTTTAATGATGATGAGTGGGTTATCTGGGGTGGTGAGTCTGTCATCGAAGGTGCTGTCGCATCTGTTTTTCCATATGGCCCATAGTGTGCTTTTTTTTTTTTTGAGAGGAGAAGAAGGCTTTGAAGCCTTTGCGGGGGTTAGTGTTAGGAGGGGAGTGTTTGAGACTTCGTTCCATGATAGTTCTAATGCTTGCCAATGGGATCCCGCCTTTGGGCAGTCTATGAAACAGTGATTCAGGGATTCAGGGGAATTGAGGTTGCATACCTTGCACCAGGAGTCTTGCTGTGAGTTGTTAGAGTGTTTACGTCTACAAGCCAGCCATTGATTTACAGGTACTGCTCTGAAGGCTATTAGCCATCTCAGGCTGGCCAACTTGACCGGTCTAGTGGAGAAGATTGCGGCGCAGGGAGGTTTGAAGTGAGTGTTGATTAGTTGTGTTTCCTCCTTCGTCCACCTGTTATGTAGCGTGTTGTGTTGATTAGTTGTGTTTCCTCCTTCGTCCACCTGTTATGTAGCGTGTTGGATATTGATATGAGTTTGGTGAAGAAACGATATCCTAGTTTGGGTGTGCTGTGCCTGCACACGAGGGCCATTTTCCAGGCCCTGCGTCCCTCAGGCCAAAAGCCTGAAATTCAGGCCGAAAGCCTGAAAACCAGGGGCTACAGGCCTCCTGTCTGTTCAGCCCGAAAGCCTGAAAACAGGGGCCTGCAGACCCTGTGTCGTTCCAGACTAAAAATGGCAATAGCCTTTTTAGCCTGAAACGAAGGGCCATTTTCGGTCGTTCATCAGAACGACCGGCCCTGAAACTCAGGCACCGAACCAGGGTTTCGGGAACAGGCTATTCTTAGCCTGTTCCCACGACAGCCTCAGCAGAGGCTGCAGCTCCAGCCCCTGGCACACTTCGGCATTGGCAAGAGCAGCCTCCTCGGCCTGGCTCGCCCTGCAGGCAGTCAGGAGGCAGGCCGAGGTAGTACA